TAGAATTAACTCCTGATACTGATGCTCACAGGCTTTCCGTTTTTGACAAACCACCATTCTGACTGGCTGGAGATCTCCATTATTAGTGGCGGCATAGAAGGAAGGTCTTTCAGTGACCCCAGAAATATTGGTATGCTGAGAAGAATGGAAAATACTGCTGGAAAGGTGGTAATGGTGCTTGCATGCAGCTCTGCATAGCACAATCTATATACCAACACACAGAATTACCTGCACACTCTCATATCTAGCCGGGCAGTGGTGATGCATGGATTTATTCCCAGCACTCTGAAGGCAGAGACAAGCAAATCTCTGTGAAGTCAAGGCCATCCTGGTCTATAGAGTGAGTTCCAGGAAACCCAGGGCTGTTACACAAAGAAATATTGTCTCCAGAAAACATACAAGAAACAAACAAAAACAACAACAAAATACTTCCATGACTATATTTTTATTTCCTCCAAGAACATGTAAAATGTTCTCACACTAGAGCTATGTAAATAAAATTGCTTTGATATAGGCAGCACTTCAGGAAATTCCATACAAAATCTCCTAGTCAGGTGCCTGGGATGTGCAACTCACCTTAGCCCTTTTGTATCTTGATGCTTCCAGTAAGTCTGTTCTCATTACCACTGCATGTGTAGGTCCTTAGCATCTTCCACTCGGTTTCTGAAATAATTCTTTCATTTGTTTTTAAAACTCCATAATTTCAATGTTTAATTTTCAGATTCACTCACTGCTAACACAGGTCCAAGAAAGGGCAATCATAGGTGATGAACAATCATAGAAGATGGACAAAGAGACACATAGACATGAAACTGGCAGACAGCTGGGGAGGTGGGGGTACAAGACAAGAACAGAGGTATGAAGAGTATGGGGGGAGGGGAGGGATGGATATCCAGAAAACACACTTTGTTTGAATATGCCATAATGCTATCTAATATAGATGATGATTTAATAATATGAAATCATAGAAACACCAAGTCAAATAAAGCTACAGTTTGGGCTATTCTATGGTTCTCTGTTCCCATGTGGCAGATAAATAACAGGAATATGAAAAGATAAGAACACCCTTCTCCCAAGCACTGTTACCTACAGGGGTCCACTCATTTCAAACACAAGCAATTCACTGATTTTCTTCTGAACTTCAAGGACCTTGCCTTTAGACAAGAATTCCACAGATAAAAGTATAGATGTATGGAACCCTTTCACTCTCAAGGGGTGGAAGTTTCCTTAACCTTCACACCATGGTAGCATCCACGACTTCTCATGAGAAACCATGTTCCCTCTAGGGATCACAGTTCTTTTGTTTCGTATTATTAGTTTCTTTGCCATCCAGTATTACAGACAAAATTTACCCAGTAACTGTGAACTTCACTTCTTCAAAAAACTGTAGAGATGTGTAGTTGAATCAATATTTTATTATAGATTTGGAGGAAAAACCTCAATTCTGAAATTGAAGAAAATAAACAGACACAGAGTAGGCAAAAGTCAATGTTGGAAAACAAAGTTTTCAGATTCATAAGCATTACAGTTAAGATAATATAATATTGAAGTGACTTTTTTCCATGAATCCATTGTCTTCCATAAATACTACAGCTGGGAATGTCTGGAACAGTGATGTTAGGAATACTTTGATCTGAACCTCCTATTAGGGAGAGTGCTTATTTGGAAAATTTAGTAAGCAGTGTTTTTTGTAGGGCCTCCACCCAATAGCAATGGTAACAGTTTGCAAAATATCCTACACTACTACTGATGTCAAGACAAAGTCCCTGGATGCTCTGTAGGCATTATTACCTGACTACTCGGATGAATGCAGATGGCTAGAATCAAGAAAAGCAGTTAGCATTATAAAGCATAGATATAATTGATGTTGTATTTAAATATTATGATGGAGTTTATAAAGAAAAGGATATGGTCAAATGTCTTTAACATGAGACATAAGAATTAAATTAGCTGTGGTTTATTTGCATATGTAGATGTGGTTTCAAGCTTTTATTTACTGCATTTATGAAAATGTAAAACTGATTCTCTAAAAAAAACAACTCAAGAAATTATGAGGAAAATTATAAATAGGGGCACAAAAATCATCCCTAAATATAACATAAAAATGCAGTTCACAAAGCAAATGTGACACCTAGGCGCTTTCACCATACACAAGCCTCTGGGCGTTTGGAGAGCTGACAAATACCTTCTTTCAATTAGAGTGAGACCTGTATCTTTTCTCAAGCAGCAGAGGCAGGGAAACAGGGTTGAATTTATCAAGCAATGTCTGAAAAACAACATTTTGCATAAACATGCAAATTTTCGATATCAGAGTCGAGTATGTGAAAGTTTTGGTTATATATGAAAGTCAAGTGCTTGAAAGTCAGGGACATTTCCCTTAAGATTTAAATTTAAATTTTAAATACAGCAAGAGTATTTCTACATGTTGACATTCATCAATTTTCCATCCTATTTTCTGAGTTTCCTGACACTTATCACTATCAGCATACATTCATCTATTTCCTCAGTATTCCTCTGCCTACCTTTGCCCCAGATGGGCCAGAAACCTGGAAAGAAGTATACAATAAATAGACTTAAAACAAATATGTGAAAATTGTTACACAGCATGCTTTTCTTTTTAATTACTGTTTTAGATTAATATGCAAAACAATGGGAACCATGATGGCATTTTCATGCAAGTATATTGTTTTAATTGATCATATCCATTCTAGGTCCTTAACCTTTATTTTGACCTTCTTTCTCCTTTCCAATTCTTAACACAAAACTGAGCCAGTGTTGCCCACTGATATGTAGAAAAACACATGAATCATCAAGTTTATCCTTTGTTTTTCAGCATGCTCTTGAAAACTGGCTGTTTTGGAATTGTGTGTGACTGTGGTACACAATGCCAAAGCACCTCCAAATTAAAGAGGAACAACTTTCACAGATATTTTGTCTGCACTGATGACTACAGAGCCTTCCATCCAGCATGTAGCTGCATGTCTGCTGCCTCTGGGAACTGTTGTTATTTAGTTCTCATCTGTGAAAACTCAAAGTGCTGAATCAAAGATGCAGACAGGGATGGTTTTAGCCCATATATGACTATGAAATGTTGTGGGAAAACATGACTTCATGCCCTTAGCAATAATCTACCTTGGCTTCATAACAGGTGCAAATTTTGATCACAAGTTTATGTTAGGTGAACTTTTTCTGTAGTTTCTATCCAGAGAAATGAGGCAGGATGGAAAAAATCATTGAAATGAAGCATATTTATAGGATGAAACAGTGAATAGTTGGTGGGCTTTAAATATTGATCACACATTCTTAACTAACAACTCTCTTTGCAGTAAGAAAGAACAACATGGAACGACTAATGACCTCACAGCAAACTTGATTCATTAATCCCTTTGTTTAGGATTTCAAAATATAAAAATTACCCTACTCAACTGGATGTGGTGGTTCATGCCTTTTATTTCAGGACTTGGGAGGGAGATGCAGGTGGATCTTAGAGTTTGAGACCAGCCTGATCAGCAGAGAGTTCCAGGACAGGCAGGGCTACATGAAAAAAACCTGTCTCAAAAAACAAAAATCAAAATAAACAATAACCACATCCTTGGTTCCTATGAAAATATCTATTACAAAAATATTGTAAATTTGGTGTTTTGTGAGAAACTAAATTATTGTGAAGACACATGCTTGAAGTGTCATTCTGTAGACTTTTTTCATAAATTATAAGCATCAAGAGTTTCAAAAGTTTAAAAGTATTAAAAACGGTTAAAAAACTTATTTATTACTTGTCCTCTGCCTTAACTCTCAAGAGCTAGAACCAGTATAGAAACTTTACACCCTATACATACAAAATTTCAACACATATGTTTAACACAAATACACATTGCTCTTTACTTCTTCTAAAGTCATGAAAAATGTCATATACCATGATTTCTTCAAGGTTTAAGATTTTTAACTAGTGAATGTGATCTATAATTTCATAATAACTTCAAGCTATCTTTATAAAACCTTTTTATAGGTATCAAGCAGAAAGGATTTCATAAAATTAAACCTGATCCTGCCTGTGCCAAGACTGAAAATGAGGTCATAAAACATTTTAAAATTTATTCTTACCTGTTAACATACTTCCCAAAACCTTTCACATGATTTATTATAAACTGAAAATGGTTAGAGGTGTAAATAAATATATTTCCACATTTCATAGCATTTAATGATATTATTTCATAATAAAGAAATGTGTGTAAGTGCACTGAACAGTAGTAACTATACCAGCTCCCATACCATGAAAAGTAAATGCATGTATAAACTACACAGCCTTAAAGCTAAATTACCCAATTAAATACAAAATATTTGTCCTAGTTAGTTTCTCTGTTGATTTGATAAAACACCAACTCAAACAAACTTTGAGAGGGAAAGACTTGTTACATTTTATAAAGTGCATAATCAAGGAAGGGAAGTCAGGTCAGGAATTCAAGCAGAAACCTGGAGGCAGGAACTGAAGTAGAGACTGTGGAGGAATAGTGCTTACTGGCTTGTTATGCATATCTTCCTTATTTGTTTTCTTATATTGTGCAGAGTCAGCATCAAACATAATAATCTTGGCCCTTCCACACCAATCATTAATCAAGAAATTTCCTCCACAGGCTTGTTTACAGTTTAATTTGCTCGTGCCATCTTCTGAATAGAGATTCCTTCCCCCCAATGACCCTAGTTTGTGTCAAGTTGGCAGTAAACTAACCAGTACAGTATTATTCATAAGAAAATTTGTGGTTTTATTTGATTTAATATTTTTATCAGCATTTACAAAGAAATACAATATGGAGCCAGTGATATGGTTCAGTGGATTTAAGAGCTTGTTGCCAAGTGTAAAGTGCTGCTTCTGCAGATTGTTCTTTGATATCACACACACTCTATTGTTCTGGGTCCACACTCACACAATTATGTACAACACATTTGTCAACATTCATATGCACACAGATAAATACATATAATGTTTGAAAGTCAAATAGAAGTACAGTAATGAGACTTTCAGTCTCTATTCCCAGGTCTTTATTAAAGTTGCTAGCATATTATTCCTACAAGATGTATATCTGATTGGAAACATCCCTGTGAGTCTAAGGAATATTGTTTGCTTTTATCTGGAAAAGAAAAATAGAGCTAAGCTGCCACTGGTGCTAAACTGGAAAAAAGAAACAACACACTCAAAGATCTTTTAAAAACTGACTTCCCACATAGAATACAGAATGTTTATTGTTGGCCATCTCTTTTACACAGGGCCACTTCTACCATCTCTTTGAAATGCAAGCTTATTTAAAATTAAGTCAGAGATAAATTCTCAATGAATTTTGGTAGAAGAATAGAACCTCCTCTAAAAAAGTACTTTTGGCAACCACAATTGAGCAAAACAACTTTTGTGAGTCTAAGTAGCCAGAGGAAAGGTTAAGCTTACTTTTGAATGAAAAACAAAAATAAAAAACATGATACACTGAAGAGAGTACACAGTCCTTTCAATGTATAGATGTGCATTCTTCCCATAAATGACCTAGCCCAGTTCTCAGATCTATTTGGTCTGCATCTTGCACAGGAGAATCTGAGAATATAGTGAACAAGTTTTTTCTTCCTATATGAGGGAAAGGCTTTCCAAGAGGGTCAGCTCACTCACACCTCTGCACTGATAAATACACATCTGTTGTAGTTCCCGTGTATTATCTACAGAAGATCAACTTAGTCAATGTCCAGAATGAGTAGGGGGAGGAGCTTCTGAAGAGGCCCATCCTTATCTGTAGAGGAGTTATTGGCAGTTAGATAGTTTCCTTTAAAGTTACAGCCACTGGTAGGCAAAGGACACAACAATGGGTGACCTCATACCCATGATTGTACATGCATCACAAAATGGACTTGCACCTTACTTAAAAGAAAAGAAAAAAGAAAACAAAATGAGGAAGTGCTACAGAGTTGAAGGCTATATATAGGAAGAATTAGGGGAAGGAATGGGGTGAACATAATCAAAATACCTTGTATGGATATATGAAATTCTCAAACAATTCATTAAATATATATTAAGAAGAAAGAAAAAACACTAAGGTGAGCATTATTAATTAAATGGCTGGAAAGCAAAAGCTCAACTGGGTCTCCAAACTTAGCAAAGACATAAGTATCTTAATCACCTTGAGACTATATCAGGAGATACAAGCCACTGAGCATGTGGACACTAGTCCGAGGTCTATGGACATCCCTAATGTCCTGCACAACTCACTTGTCTTACCTACTCCTTCTCACTGTTTTATTGTGTGACTGTACAGTGAGTGAGTGCCTTCTCCATGACTCCCAAAGGGTACAACCTGGTAGTTCATGTCTGTGGCTAGGAAAAGTCAGAGGTCCTAGAGAATTACAAGATACCTTCTCTGAAAATTATCGGGAGATAACTTGCATGTATCTTGACTTTACAAAGAAAGGTAATGACACCAAATATTAAGATACAGGAGAGGATCTTGATCCTTCCCCAGATAATGCGACAGATTTGATGACTCCCCGTGGGAGGCCACACTTTCTCTCTGAGGAGTGCATGGGGGTGGGGTGGGGAGATGGTGGGGGAGTGAAAGAGGACAGGAGAGAGAGGTAACTGGGAGTGGTATGGAAAATAAGGCTTTAAAAAAAATAAAAAGAGAAGCTCTACCAAGGAAAATAGAGGGATAGAGTGCATGAATCCACAGCAAAGATCTGAGAATTTCCAAGATATTGGAACTGCTAGCTATATTTTCCCCTCCCCAAATATTTAATCAGTTGAGTCTGGAAGAAATCAACAATTCTTCAAAAGAAAATAATTTTGCAATAGAAGAGTTCAAAACAACAACATATAAGTAAGAAAACAAGTAAATTTGCACTAATTAGGCAATACAATAATTTTCGAGGATTTTTATATATAATATCTCCAAGGATCATGTGAACTTCCCATCAAACACAAGAACGACCCCTGAATTGAGAGAATCTCTTAGCAGAGACATTGAAGCCAGATTGTGAAAGGACAAAATTCTAAGTGCTAAGAGCATTTTATGAGCAAAACTATCCTTCAGATGTAAGGACAGACTAACACTTCCCCAGGTAAACAAAACCTGGAAGAACTCATCACACATAGACCTGTTTTCCGTTAACACCAAAAAGATTCCTTCATTTAAAAACAAAAGGACTTACAACAGACATGAAAACATCTGGAACTAAAAAGTGTGTTAGTAAACACTCAAATTCACATTACTCTTTCACAATGAAGATGTGATGTAAAACAGTGTTACTTCTAACATGGAGGTGTAAAAAGAACTAAAATAACTCGAGCTACAAAAATTTGTTGAGTGATATAACATGTAGAAAGATCATTAATTACTTTCCCTACTGTCTTAGCTATTTATGCATATTGCTTAGCCAGATTTAATAATTCCAAACTTATACATCTATTAAACCATCACACTGTATGCCATAAAATTTATATAAGTATTATATATTTATATATACTATATATAAGTATTATTTGTCAATTAAAATAAAAATTAAAAAATAGAGATTCACTTCACATTTCATTTCAGGGGTCAAGAACAATTTCTTAATTCTTGATAATTTTATTTATTCATATACACACCCTTCACAGCACTGCTCAGTACCCATCTCCTGTGGGCTGCTCTTGTCCATACTCATCCCCTCTCTGAGAAGTCTTCTCTTCCTGCTTTCATGTCCTCTGTACTCCATCACTTCTTTTACCCTATGATCTCTTCTTTCCCCCTTTGTACTTTCATCCCATCTACAGGGACACATGAAATGAAGGATGCAATATTAGTTTTCTTAGTTTTACATATTTTACTTGACATAATGGCTTTCATTTTTTCATTCACTTTTATGTTATTATTTCACTTTTCTTTATGGCCAAATAGAGCTACACTGTAAATACACACAGCATGTTCTTTATCAAGCAGTTTGCTGATAAAAATCCATGTATTAGCAATTGTGAATACTGCAGCAATAAACATAAAAATGTACCTGTTGTCAATACTGAGGAAGAGTTGTCCCAAAATACCCAACAGTAATATAAACAGTCACATAGTAGTTCTGTGTTATTATTATTATTATTATTATTATTATTATTATTATTATTATTGATCTATATACTGGCTTCCAATAATTTCACCATATTACATTATCTTCAACAATTAATAAATATTCCTCTTTCCCCATATCTTGTCAGTTCTTATTATAATGTCTTCTTGATGATAATCATTCTGACCTGAGTGACAGGAAATGTGGAGGCATAACTGATTTGCACTTCCCAGAAGGCTTTTTTGGAGGGTGATACCTGTGTATTCTGTTGAGTAACTTGTTTTGTGACCCAACAAATTTTTTGGTGCTTAATTTTTGGAGTCCTTTATGTATTCTAGCTACTAATACACTGTCCAATTGGTTTTGTTACTGGTTTTCTTTGCTATATGGAAGCTTTGAAATGTCATGTTCTGTCTTTTTGTCAATTCCTGAGGCAATTTATTATGCTATAGAAGTATTTTTCCCCTGGAAAGTCACACTTAGGTACATGTCTTGAATATTTTGTCTATTTTTCCCTGTAGCAAATTCAGAGTTTCAGGTTGTATATTCAAGTATTTGACATATTTTTAAGGGATTTTTCAGATTGAGGACTACCGTTTTCCATTTTATTATTTTGACACCAGAGTAGAAAAAAGCAGAGTTGTGTTTTCAGTATTAATATCCAACATAACATTATAATAATTGGGTGAGATAATGAAACAGTATCTAAATAGTAAAGGAAAATGTTAATTGCTTTGTTTTCAAATATGTACTTCTATGTAGAAAATAATAAAGGTCACTAATAAAAGTATTCAGAACTAATAAATGAATTCTGGAATGTTAGAGGATATAAAAACCATTATATAAAATTAGTTTCATTTTTATATAATAAAGTACCAATTTAGAGAAGTGGAACATATTCATTTACACGATTTTGAATCTATAGTTTTCTGATTTAAAACATTGTCTACTAAAATGCTAGATATCTCTAATTTAATACCAGTGGAGAATGGGCAGATGAAGACATTACTGTTTATATTGTTTTGTCACTTTATATATAATTAAGATTGAAATTTTCCCACAAATTTCATGATGTTGTTGTTTTAACAGCTGAATAATACTCCATGTACCACATGTTCTTTATCAGTTCCTTGATGGGGGGAATGTAGGTTCTTTCCAGTTTCTGACTATTATGAATAAAGCCACAATGAACATAGTTGTCCAAGTGTCCTTGAGGCAGGTTAGAGTATCCTTTGGGTATATTTCCAGGAGAGAGATATCACTCAGTGGGTCTTGAGGAGATCTATTCCCAATTTTCTGAGAAACCACCATATTGGTTTCCAAAGTATCTGTACAAGTTTGCCCTTCCACAAGCAATGGAGAAGTTTTACCCTTGCTCAAAATCTTCTCCAGCACTAGCTGTCACTAGTGTTTCTGATTTTGACCATTCTGACAGGTATAAATAAGATGGAATCTTGATTTTGATTTGATCTGTATTTCCTTGGTAGCTATGAATGATGAACATTTCTTTAAGTGTTTATCATCCATTTGAGATTCCTCTTTTGAGAATTCTTTGCTTTGATCTGTACCCCATTTTTTAATTAGTGAGGTAACCCAGACCAAGAAAAACAAACATGGTAAATACTCATTTCTAAGTGAATATTAGCTGTAAAGTAAAAAAGATCCATGCTGCAACCCATAGACTCAGAGAAGGTAGTAACACGGGCTCAAGAAAGGGACGTATGGATCTCACTGTGAAGAAAAAATAGAATGGACAATGTCAGTGAGTTGGGGAGGGAACTGGAAGGGAGACTGTGGATGGGAACAGGAATGATCAGGTGGGAAGAGGATGGAGAAGAGAATACTAGAAGAGACAACTCGAATCTTGGGGTCTCTGGAATGAGCTAGAAACCTAGAGCAAAGGAAACGCCCAGAAATTTATGAGGGTAAGCCTAGCTAAGACTCCTAGAAAGGGGATATGGAGCCTGAATCAGCCATCTCCTATAACCAGGCAAGACTTGCAGTGAATGGACTGGGACACCAACCTAACCATAAGCCCTGGTACCTACAATATGCCCTGCCTACAAGATATACTGGGGTAAAGATGGCACAGAAATTGTGGAGTGATCAACTAATGACTGCAACAACTTGAGACACATACCATGAGGTCCAGGACCAAGAAAGAGGCAGGTTGCCCCAGAGACCTAGGATAGAAACAAACACAAATGGAAAAGAAGACAATGAAATGATTCCTAATGATATTCTGTTGTGCTCATAGAATGGTGCCCATCCAAACTTTCATCAGTGAGGCTTCACTCAGCAACTGATGGAAACAGATTCAGAGACCCACAGCCAAACATTAGGTGAATCTCCATGAATGATGAAGAAGGGGGAGGAAGGATTGAAGGATCCAGTGGTGCCAAGGACACCACAAGCAAACCCACAGAATCTATTAACCTTGGATATTAGGGGTTCACAGAAACTGAACCACTAACCAGGGATCCTGCATGGGGCTGATCTGGACCCCTCTGCAAATAAGGTATAATTATATAGCTTGATCATCTAGTGGGACTCCTAACAGTTGGAACAAGGGCTGTCTCTGACTGTGTTGCATGAGTTTTTGAAACTATTCCTCCTACTGGATCACTTTCTCCAGCCTTAATAGAAGACGAGGTGCCTAGCCTAACTCAACTTGATATATCATGGTTGGCTGATATCCCTGTGAAACCTGCCTGTATTTGAAGTGAAACAGTGGAGGAAGAGTAGATGGAGTTGTGGTGAGGAGGTAATGGGAAGAGATGAGGGAGAGAAAAGTTTGGTGGGGATGTCAAAACAAAAAAATAAAAACATCAAAAAGTGCAATTAATAATTTCATGAATCTCAACTGATCTTTAGGCCTAGAAACGAAGCTGATTACTAAATTATGTTAGTCAACATTTAAAATCCTTACAGAAAGATTAACAAAAGTGCCCCTATTGAAGGTTGAAATTCATTTCTGTAGCCAATTTCCCAAACCTTGAGTGGCTACTACTTTACTTCCCTCCTAGAAAAAATCTGTGCCTTCATCTTGTTACTCTTCTTTTGCCAGAGCCTTTAGACTAAATCACATCTTTCTGCTATCCTTCCATATTATCATAGGACTGAAAACGTGGCCATATAATGGATGCTGTTCTTTGAGCAATTAACAAAATTGCCGTAAAGATTTTCTCTTCCCTAACCATTTAGTAGTTTAACTTAACAAAGAACAAAATAAAACATAAAATAGCATGGATGATCATTTTCCCTCATTATAAGACAGTAGTGGTTATACACACTAGAATATTCAATTCATGACAGGAAACAAAATCGCCTCACCACATTCAAGACAACAGGATAATAGATGCTACTTAAGTAAACCTTCCTTGAATATATTGAAATTACCAAGAACATCTAAATTCAAAGCTTCAATGTAGAATTACAATAATGGTATTATTTTAACTCAGCATCACTTCAAAATAGATTATTCTTTCTTTCCGTTGTTGTAAAAATTATTCTAATGAGACACAAAGTTTATAAAGTATAGTTTTAAAACTTCCCTTAGCCCTATGCTTTTTCATGCATTTATTTCATAATCATTTTTAAAGATACACATCATTGTTATGAGAAGTTTTAGATAAAAATATCATAAAATTTGAAGGTACTTTCCTAATACTGTGCCTGATAACAATTAAAAACTGTATTCACAGTGGGAATTAATTAATAAAATGAAAACAGGAAGCAAACAAGCAAAATTTACTACATTTACATGGGTCCACATGAAGTTAAGAACTGGGTACTGCCTGATGCCCATTATCATGTAGGAAATTACTGGGAAAGTTTACACACAGACTAAAGACAAGAAAATACTAAATAACCCTCAGGCAGAGAGCCCAATATTATTTCTTTATCTAATTTCTTTGCCTAAATGCTTCTTGGAAAACCAAATTTCAATTGTAATTTGTAATTGTTAACTTGACTGGAAATAACACCATACTGAAATCACACTTCTTCGTGCATGCCTGATGGTTTCCAGATATATTTAAGGGGAAAACCTACCCTGTATGTGAGTTTCACTATCCCCTGGTCTGCAGTTCTAAACTGAATAAAGGGAAAAAAACAAACTTAACAATAGAATTCATGTTTTTGTGCTTTCCAGGTGCTGACCCAAGATGGTCAAAACCTCATGCTCATGACTCCAACTTCAACCCAAAAGCCAAAGTTAATCCTTCCTCCATTTTGATGCCTCTGTCTACAATTTAGTCAAACAGGAAAGAAAGTCATTCAAATAGTGTGTGATTACTAAATTCTTTGTAGTCACATTTTAAAAGTAATTATCTTTAAGCTATAAGACAACCAAATTAAAAAAATATGATTTATGTAAAAACCCTTACTACAAAGATATAACTGAAAAACAAAACCAGGAAATTGAAAGCTTCAGTAGGAATTTCAGCTCCAAGACACAGAAGATCTTCAATTATTTTGATGACTAAAGTTCAACATTATGAGTTTCTGTGAAGTGCCAAGGATTCTTCTGTCATCATCATTGGATGCATTAGGTGCAAATGAGAGGAAAATGATGTAGATTCTTGGCTTCTGACAAGAATAGAGGAGAAGTGAGAAGCAAGCAGAGAGTAGGAAAGGCAGCAGTAAGCAAGATGGCTAAACTGGCTAGGAACAGCAGAGATGGATTACAAATGTCAGGAGTGGCTG